TTCATAGAGCAGTCTACTTAAATACAGGTGCACAAGCTACGTTTCATTATGCGGGTGCGGGGCGAACCCAAATTTACTAGTCCATCCGTTGATACTATGATCCGACTACTATATGATAAAATGTACGTAGCATAAAATTATCAGTGTCTTACTTAATACACACATTCATTGTCTGAGTAGAGGAAGTAAGCACGGCCTATTTATTTAAGGACTAAACGGCTCAATCGGCCTAATTAATCCTGATATATATATATATATATATATTGATTTTAATTAGGCTTTTCTATTTTAGTTAAGGTTTACAAGCAATTTAACACTTATGTCAAAGTATGCCGTCCATACACGAATCGTCATTGAATAGAAAAGCTATAAAACATTTCACCTACTAGTGATGTAAGCTGATATAATGCGGTACTTGATAATATAATAAATTATCTTTGTGTATTTAGGGTTTAGCGTAGACCGAGAAATAGTCCTATTTGTAACGTGTGCATTGTAACTTATCACGGAGCAACGAAACACGCGAATAGGCACGCGTGTGATATAAAAAAACTTGAATATAATGAGCAAGTTTTGATCGAGCAAGAGCTCCAACACCGACACAGTTATCATAGGATAAGAATAGGTTTACTTTATGACGGCTTCGCACAGTATGCCCAAGTAGAGGTGAAGCACATATGTGCAGGTAAGGATTTTGCAACGACTGCATCAATGGCTCAGTTAATCATGTGTCTATCAGAAAGCGTCATTTAGTATTTGTTTGAGATTAGAGATGGCTGTGAAAATATATGAAATTATAAATCGATCATATTTGGAGGAGGGGTTCCTCGTCGAACCGTTCAACTTCAGCCGCTGCTTCGAACCACGCTGACGGAACAGTGTCGCTTAAAGACTAACACGCTCGATTCGAGCGTATGCGTAGTAAGTTATACCGTCCCCGTCCAGTTGGACCATTAAAGCGGAAATTCGCTTTAGCGGCAGGAAGAGTTCTCTGGTACAAAACCTTGGCGCATTCGAATTTACAAAGCTTTTCTCCTTGCAGAAGATTGACAACAAGCACAGTGGCCTTGCAGAAAATGCGTGTAAATGCACATGACAGCTCCCGACATGTTAACTATTTGCGGGCTGTGCACGTAAGCGGAAAAACATTCGCTGGAAATGAATAAAAAACAGAGCCCTTACGAGATCTGTACCTTTTCGACTCTAGTAAAATTCACACTGACTAAAAATATATAAACTTACGAAACTATGCAAAAGTTTCTTTTGAAAGCAGAATCGAACAATCGATCGGTCGACTCATCCGTTGCATCTGTGCAGGCTGCCTTATTTGCACATGTTTTCTTGCCAATGTACAACAATAGCAAAAATTCTCCCCATTACAAAGACACTTCCAGTCTAAACGTTAGCATCTGAACAAACATCAAAGTAACTCCTTGTCGAAGGTGTACAGCCTTTATCTTTGTGAATGTACAGTCACTAATGACTGCTTATTCCTCGCTGGAAATGAGAATATGGTACAAAACAAGAATTCAGATTCTTCAGAAAAGGGAGGGCTGATATCTCCGAGTAGTGACTGAGACAATTGATGGATGACTCAGAGGCGCTTGTCCTGTTCAGTCCGGTTCAGGATCTACCTCTCCGGGTTGCTCTACTCTCTAGGGAAATCCTACTCAGGAGGTCGCGTGTGGTGTCAAGTGTCTTAGCATAATGAGCTAACCTATAGAAAACGAGGAAGAAAATGAAAGGACAGAAGGAATAAGAACAAAATGCACAAGGAACGAGATGCACTGTTTCGCCTAAAATTCGTTCAGTTAAGCCCTAACTCGGGCAACAGGATGATACGTTCTACATCCTCGAATCAGCCGAGATCCTGCGGATTTGACGGCTTAGCTATGATACCCGATGAGGAGTACGCAAACCCTTGTTTGAAGTGTTTTAGAAGTGTAGCAGTCGATGGCGTAAAATGCAGTGCTGGGAGAATTTCAATGTAAAAGACCCACTGGTTAAGGTTCGAGTTTACCGATTCATTTTACTCAAGACCTTATATGAAGCGAAGTAGACCGGGTTCTCGATGAGTGGGATACACAGGAAGCAATCGCGATGTCTATGCGCGGGCTTGTTTTCCGAAAGCAAAGTATATGACAGTGTGAACGATTTGTAGACACCCTACCAAACTCGAGACAGAACATAGGGAGACACGTGTATCTCTCATAAATTCAGGTCTCTATTTCGATAGTTGTGTTATATGTACACAGTTTAGAGAACAACAGGCCGGCTTGTCGTGGGGGTTAAAATTACTTTCAACGGCTAGATTGTGACCGGCATAGCAAATCTGAGAAGGTACCGCAGAAATAGGTCAAGACCGTATCAAGCATCTCATTAAGAGCTGCGCAGGTTACAATCGGGCTAATTAGTAAGGCATGACTTGCAAACAGAACAATACGAAGGCAAGGTGCTCTGATAGCATCGTTCTGAATAAATGTATTCATTCGATTTAAACATAATTCAGCATAAAATATAACGATACGCTTCAAGTGGAAAGTCAGCATTAAAGCTCATACGGAGCGAAATAGCAGATGACCAGGTTGTGACCTTTTTTAATAGTATTGTCATAAGCCTTCAGTTACGATGAACATTTGTACAGTGATATTGAGGGGCCGATATGCGCCCAGTTTGCCTGAAAGATTATAGATGGATTTTGTACAGCACGCCTCGATGTCACAATATACTTTAGTGATAGGTAAACAACGAGCTTTTTTCTATAGCTTTAATAAGAAATTTCTTAACGGTTAGCGAACACTGGAATTTTAACAGGAATCCAATTATATCCAGTAATGACATTTGTCATGGATATTATGCAAGTAAAGTTACATACCGACACAAAACGGATCGCTGAAAAAACAACCATAGCTGACTTGCTGGCAGTAGTAGACTCCGAGCAGGGCATAATGTGTGCAGTATTTAGATAAATATCTGCATACATATAGGTGGGATTAGTGAATTACCAGAGTGTTTGCAAATTAGTCCTTGATCCTGTTATTCTCTTGTAGCTGTTGTGATAGTAGGCCAAAAGCAGTAATCGTCTTCTAACGATTGTTTTTTTTTAAAATTACTTTAAGAATACTCTAAGAGCTCATGCGTCTCGTTGTGATGAATGATTTGTGTCTAGAGTACTCCATGAAAGTTAAAATTACAACCACGTTACGAATTCAAGCGCGACCCTGTCCGGAAGACCCGCCTAGGTGCTATCGCATAGCATGGTACCAATTCCGAGTATTCGATACATTGAGTAGGTGCGAACTACGTAGACCATATCCAATGCAGGCAGGATAAAGGGTCCTGACCATCAATGAGGATTGCATAAAGGAGCTGATATAAACATTGGCTAGCAGTTGCTGGTACTGCTTTTAGCTGGAATAGCACAAAATAATACAGTTTCAGCAGAACATCCTGACGATCCGAAGGAGAAAAGCTTGAGCAGGAACAGGCATTTCATCCATCTAAAGAATTGTAAGGGGCGAAATGCTTTGGGGAGTAATAACTCCCCACCGTAATCTTTTTCGCTGTCAATAGTACGCCTGTGCAACGACTGTGCCGTTATATATTATATATTGAAGCTATACTGCGTCGGCATGTATATGTGTGCGGCGACTGTTGCCGCCTGCTTCTAACTGCAACTACTAGATTTATTGGCAAGCAATATTATATGTCACTCTTGCTAGCAGATTCTGCCACCCGGATCCATATCGTCCATCTATATGACCCATATAACTTATATATAACATGATACTTGGAGGCATTTACCCGTCGTCGTAGCACAAGTAGTAGCCGAAGCTGTCGGAAAAATAGCAGGAACGGCCGCCTATTTCGGCTGTGTCCTACATGGTAAAAGTGGATGTCTACCTCACTACCATATCTGAGATCGGTCGGTCGGTCGGTCGGTTTGGGTGAAATGGGGTGGGGTGGGGTGACTGTATGAAGTTATACGGGTTAGATGAGAAGAAACCCTTTTTCGTCTGCTGATGCTGCTCTAACGCTGGCAGTGTTACCAGCTCCGCGAGCGCTCCAGCAGTACAACGACGGTATCGTCATACATCGATATTCCTACTTGGCCTCTCTGCCCTAGAATAGGGCGGCAATAACAGAAGCAGATCAAAGGAAAACGGATAATAGCCGAAAGGATAATATGCTTTATTGATGATACTCACCTCTCGGATAGAAAACACAATACTTTCACTCACTCAGATCGTCAGACACCCACATCTTTACATACGTACACCCATACAACAAACAGACACAACTCCGATAGGCATCGTGTATTACTACTACCGCTCACGCCGCTGGACACAAAGCGTCCTGGAGTCAGCTGTGCTTCGGCTGACATTATTATTGACTCTGCATAGGTGGCGCTGTACACAACTGAACATAAGCGAATATATAATTTCGCTAGGGCAGAGATATACAAACACGCAAACGCAGGTCGATAGTGTATAGCCAGCACATGCAGCTCCTCACCACTGAACGGAGGGAGTTTCTGATGTTTAGGCAGAACTACAGACCCCACCAGGCAGGGAGCAGATCCCCATAAGACCCCACATCACCTCACAGCATATTGCCAACGACCACCCTATCACGTCCTTAGACGTTGTCTCATTAAATCCCCATTGGCGTTCTTCGTACATATCAAATACCGCTACAGTATTATTGTAAATGTCTGACAGCCAAAATGGGCATGTAGCGGCTTTGGGCTGCGGTAATCGTTTTCTAGTTGTAGCCGCGCGCCTAGATTTGCAGCAGGGACTTCTGCGTGTACCGTTTAAGGTGTCAATTCTTTGTATCTAGGCTGTTCTTATAAAGGCTAGCCGTCAGTAACTTAAGTGAGATATAATGTACAATACAAATCATAAGTGATATTATTAGTATTCGTATACCGTACTGCCAGATCGTGTATGTGCCCACCCACTTAGAGACAAGAGGATGTTATGCAACGTTCGGTTCACAGTCGTCACAGCGCATTGACTCTATAGCGCCCCGACTGATCCACCCGGATGCTTGAATGGCTTTCTCGCCATTTCCTTCGCCGCCGACAACCAATAAGATCTGTTCATCGCCGACTCAGCTGCTCGTCAGGCTCCTCCCTCCTTCATCTCGTTGGTAGAATACAACCGACCCTCTATGTATGTTCATTGTTCGTGCAGGCTTCCTCCCTTCACCAGCGCAGCGCCACTGTTACATCACGTTAGCTCGAATCTGTCCCTACGTGGCCGATCCGCTTTTGGCTAGCTGCTTGTGTGCGCCATCAAAAAAGAGAAAGGGAGAACAAGTTAAAAGGAAGCTGGCTCTGCTATTGCACGCGAACAAACGTACTGCTATTGGTGGCTATGGCCGGTAGTTCTATTTGCAATTGGCTCCACCGGCCAGAGACTGGGTCGAGACTTTTGGCAGAATCGGAGCTCTCAAACGAGCCAACATAATCTGCCCACATAACGTGCACAACGAGAACTTGCACGGACTGATGTTAGTACAGACTGGATTACATTATTTATGCGTCCTGTACGGAACTTTATCCTAGAAATACGAACGGCGCAGCATAACGTGCGCAGATCAGGTCACTGCGCTCACGTAAGAGAATACATCCGTATCTAGCCAAATGTATTGTTGTCGAGTAGGAACAACCTAGAACATCTTGCTTTACAAATACATTTCTATAATATACAAGTGCTAAAGGGTCGTCCTTGGGGAATTGGCGGAGCGCTCGTTCCTCGGCTGTACCGTACGCCCCGGACGATTAAACAACGGCTAAAGCTAGATCGATCATACTCGGTTAGTCGATAGAATATCGTCACATGTTCTGTGCGCGTTATAAGTACGGGCACGATAGTTTCAAGTGTCTCCCGTAGCAAACCTCTATTGGTCAGTGATTTATAAATACAATGAGCGGCACGGGCTGTTCCCCACAGATTGCTCAAAACATATCGACAATTGATGATCTATTATGTACTTCAATGTAGACAAATCGCCAGTTACCGCAGATAGCTCAAAGGAAGCATAGATAGAAAAGAATTAGCCTGTGCGAGAGAAGGAGCGTACGACATAGTCGTGATGCTTAAAATCTTCTTAGTAGCATAGTTCAGATGACTTGTAATAGCCCTAAGCATTACAGACTAGCATGAGTTTTGTTTCACGATAGTTATCGGTTATCTATGAACCGAACGTTGCTGTTTCGTACCGCGTGATTTTCGAAGTACGGCAAACGTCCTTATCCTGTTGATGTTTTCGAATAAGTTCTGCGTCTTTGGCCCCGAAAATATTACCATTCAAGCAGAGAATAAAGTCGGCGACCTAGGCCTCGGCTCCAGCACTCAACTGAAAAATACCGAAAATACATTACAGAAGCACCATATGATACCTGAAAAACCTGTACTTTTTCCACGAATAGCTATCGTTTACGCTCAGATTACGCGTAATGAGCCGCCATAGTTCCATAGCAGACGTTGTAGACCGACGATTTCATGTTCATATCGTGTATGGGACCAGCAATTAAATTTCCGACTGTGAAGATATTGATTCAATCCGTTGTGTTTCGCTCGCTTCGAGCAAAGCTAAGGCAACCGCAAGACGTTTCATGACAAAGAAAAAAAGCCGCGTATGAATCAACGCATACCAGTCTAGCACAGAGTTATGTTTGTTTTTTTTTTTGTCAAACATATCTTTCTAAGTTCGAATAATGAAAACAGTTGATCGGTATCTCTTCGTGTAACTTCTTCTTGCCAACGCGACCGGTCACCTTGCATCGACACCCGTTTGTCAGATTTTTCAAACAATTATAAAGTAGTCACTCAATTGCGTCCGTTATGAAAAGCTGTGATGATTTACTGGGAGGGAAAGATAATTTAATTTAACCCAAAATTTAACCCGAGTGCGTGACTGCAACCACTGCTATGGCACTATGAGAATCGGTGAAGAAAGGGTTACTTTTTCTCATCGATCATCAATAGAGTTTTGTATCCCATGCGCTGTTTTATCCATACGTATGTGTTTCCAGTCTTTTCTTTAAATCGGTCAATTTGCTGCCCGCCAGAACTCGATCGCCAATCATCTCTAAATAAAAACATAGTAACTGAACAGCGGCAACTCTCAATATTAAGGACAGTAACTTGGCACAAATTCAAATCGAAATAGTCCATGTTTTGGAGCCGTGTTAACTTCCAACTTCGAGCGACAGTTAATGGCAGTTCCGCCTCGTTATCATACGGTCTTTGCTGCTACTGCCGCTGTAGGCGATTTATTGTTTGTGGTATATTGCAGGCGCAGGCCAACGTCACAGGCTCTAACGTTAATCGGCGCCATTCATTGTTGGCTACTTAATTTCGCCGAATCGGACAGTTGCATGAAGGCCAACGGCAGGCAGCTTGAATCAGTGTCGTCGGACCATCTACGTCGTCACAAACGAGAACGAGGTGCGCGAGCGGCTGACTCGTCCTGGGCATCAGAAGCAAAAGCAATGGTGAGGTGAACAGCGGATACTGTCTTGTGCTCAAAGATGCTATTGTAAACTTAATTGGCGGCTAGCGTATTCACCCACACGGGTCGTTCGGTGTCTTGAAACTGTGTCACAGCGGCCGGAGACACACATCTTGATCGAATCAAGAAGACGAAAACGGCCAGGGGGGCTTGCGCCAATGGATCTGTAGGCGTCACAAGAAAGCTGTAAGGCAACGGGCGACATCAGTCGCAAGGCTTAATGGCCGCCAGAACACTGGTTTAATTACAGAGAGAGCAAGATGCAATTGCCCTAGATATGCCCATCCGTTCTCGAGCGGGGAACCCAATTCATTGGAGAGAACTAACCCGCCATTTTGCGGCTTAAGTTGGCTGGATTTGGTGCTGCGTTGTGGAGTTCAGATCGATATTTCAAGTACCTGTTCGGGCCGTTTTTTTGTGCAGGAGAGGGGCTGGTGTGGGGGTTACGCCGGATGATTCTAACGGCGTTTATGACAGCCACGGAGAGGCAGTGTAGAAGTTTCAAAAAAAAGAAGCGGTTTACCTAGTGGGTGTGTCTTTTGTCGCCACAAAATGCGCTTACTGGAGAGGGCAAAAAGGCTAAGATCCACCCACGAATGCAGCTAGCTACCAAGACACTGGGTCAATGTGACCGCAATTTAAGTTACCGCAAAGATGGGACGACGTCAAAAGTGATCTCGTCGCTGGACCATGTGGTCTCTATGTGGCTAGCCGGAACAACTGTCTGTTGATTCTCTGTAAAATTTTCTCTTAACCTGCCTGCGCATACCTACAGACTTCGCGCGTCTGGACAAGTGTCTTCGGAAAGTGATCTCAAGCAATAGGTTTTGAGTACGTTTGGGAACTCGACGATTATTTCTTGTAAAGTGACTAACTTGAAGGACAAAAAGGACCCGTCCGAGCGCATTTGGAAAACACCGAAAGGACAACGACGTGATCGAATACAGTGAGTGTTTGTTTGTAGCGTAATAGCGAGGGAGCCGAGTTGAAGGAACTATGTCTATAAGGGATATAGGCAGATTCTTTGAGATTTTGTTGAACTCCGGGAACTACCAGTTTTTGTTGGCATTGTTTAATTAGTTAATTTATTTTATGAAAAATAATCAAACAATAGACTAAAGTGGCAGTTCATTGATGTTGAATCTCCAACTTAAGAGTATAAATTGCACCTCACTTTATAAGCCGTTTTCTAAAGTAAGACATTTTAACTTGCTGACGACAGTATGACGTTTGCGGCTAGAAATATTATTACAAAGTTAGTTAAGGTAAATTTCTATCGTACGACGTAGTTATTTTTTCTCGGGGTCGCTTCTTTTTTTCTTATAGACCATATAAGAAAACAAAGACGATCCGGTCATTGTGAAAGCCTTGTAACGCGTTCCATCTAGCACTTATATGTATAGACTGTGATATAATTAGGCGACCATATAATATATCAAGCTGAGAGGATATGAAAGAATTGCAAAATTCTTTAAAGGATGTATAGGAATGGCCTGTGTTTACACGACTAGGACATTGTACAAACTGAGCCTGCTGAGCCCTTCATGTTCTGTCGCTTGAGGGAGCATGTTGATCAAATCGAGAGTTTCCCCATGATTGAATGATAGAAAAGGCATCAATGTCATCGGCCAGACAAGCCGGCTATTGCTGAGTTGATTTCATAGCTTTTTGTTTAGCTGTGCTTGATATATATACCAAGCTGTCGAACTTTCAATGTTATTGTTACTTCTCCTTGTTAGCGAAATCTTTTCGCTATGTTTGATAGTATTGTTTTCAATATTATAATCGTACCCTCGATCTGGGATCACTTATTCTATTTAACAATCCCACGGTAAGCATTGCCGTTGTTCATGCAGATATACTCTCTGGTGTGTCTGGAGGGTGCTCACTTCTAGGCATAGTTTAACACTGTTTGCGCGTATTGTTATGAGCATCACGAAACGCTACTTCAATGAAGTACTTACCTTTCAGTGACAGAAGAATGAGACAAGAATTAACCAAAGTCTGTTCATCGTCTGAAGAGTAGTCCTTAGTAGTTTGACGCCTAAATTCAAGTCATTATAGGTACATCTAAATGTTTCGTAGACGATTGAATTGAACCAAGTTTAGTTAACTTTAATGTAAATAGCTCTCGCTTGCTAGACGCCGGCAAAATCCATGTGTGCGCACACCACATTTATCAACAGTCTGGAACACAGTTTGTTCGTTCGACCACAACACCGATTACATTGTTAGTGAAAAATATTGACATAGGTCCTTTCTACTTAGCTCGTCGATGATACCAGACCTGCAGGTGACAGGGTCCGCTTCTTTCATCGCGTATATATACAATCGAAATATGAGGGATATCTTCAAAGTGGATCGGATCAACAATTACCTTTTTAACAAACCATAGACTTATAGATGAAACTTCGTCTGATATGTTGCATAACGATTGCCGAGACCACAGACAAATGCCTGTCGCTCAGAGCCTGTTATAAAAGAAACTGCTGGTTCTGGACGGTAAAAGCTATAATCAGTCGCGCGGATATCTGTTGTCGCAGAGACCATTAATAGGGCTACCGTCCTATCCAAGCTGGACGCTTAGACATCGTGGTACGCCATCCTTTAATGAAATTACAACGCCCATAATATTCTCAGTCATTTCCTGTGCCAAATGTATTGAAGAGGTTATTACCTGTCGTCAATGAAAAAATGATTTTTTGCACGATCATAATCACTGAATTGGCCACCTAGTTTTGAGCACTGTTCATTATTTAGTTGTCGAAATGAAGTAGACATAAGTTAACTTTCTTTGAAACCAGTGTGGCCTTCAATCAAATTGTTCCGCTCCGTCGTTGCTGAACAACCACCTCACCCTCGCCTCGCTTTCTACACTGACTATGCAGAATTTATTGATTTCTGCCGTCCCTATTGCAAAGAATTAGGTTTAGATCGATGGTATTTGCTGGCTTTCACCGTTTGTGCCGTCCATCATCATCAGTGGTCCCTCAGATGATAAATAATAGCAGCAGCGGCGGAGACAGTAGAATGCTTCTAAATCGGTCGATGTCCTTCCTGGACTACACATTCGCATCAAAAGAAACACAACAATCAGCCAGAATACCTTAGAGAAGGTATACCCTTTCTCTATAACCTTATTTCCCTCAATCTTCTCCACCCACCCACCCACCCACCTACCAACGTATTTATCTACCTAACTCCACTGATCTCTGAACAAGACAGCGGCCATCGCCGCCGCTGCCGAGAGTTTTCTCCCCTTAATACGACTCCTCTTCTTTGTCATCCTGATCGTGTATATTCAGCACGGACACATATAGTACACGTCCCACAGCGCAAGCGACGATGTCGATGGCGAAACCGCCACACTAGCTTAGTCCAAATGGCTGCACAGGCTGTATCGAAGGTCTGAGAACTGTTCGGAAGGCTTTCACTTATGTACTTTCGCCGAGCATTTGGCTGCTTTCTGCTTGAAGGACGATATAATGGCAGCGGAGGAGGTTGTTGCGCTCACCTCGAAGGGTTTTGACGAGTCGGATCCGTGAGTGAGATCGTTCACCTCTATATTTCATAAGAGACCTAACCTGGACGGACCATACGGGAGACGGGCAATACAGAGCTGCGGGCTGCGCGGCTGCAGGGTGAAGAACCCTAGCCTAAGTCGAGGAGTTGAGTGCGAGATCGAGTGAGAGAGAGAGAGAGAGAGAGAGAGAGAGAAAACGGTCTGACCGTTCAGGGCAGTGTGGGCATTAGAAGCTTGGCGGCTCCAAGATGATTGAATCGGATCGGAAAACGCTTGAACGGCCACTGAGAAAGTGGGCGAGAAAGCTTCTTGGGCCGGACTCAACTTAACAGCGAGTCTGTCTCGAGACTTTTGCAATCTTTCATAACCGAACTCGGCCAGTCGGTCCCGAAACTTGCTTTCACCAGTAGCAACAGCAGCTGCAAATATGAGTTGCCAGTTTCAGCTGGTGATTGGAGGCGACAGAACGTGAACGTTTGGTCCGGCTTTGATGGGTCATCGCTTCAAAAGAAAATGGTGAGCGAGTCATCGTTTCAAGGATTACTACATCAAGATGCGCGACAAGACTTTGCATTAGGGTTGAAACGTCCACACCGGAAGGCGATGTGTATCGACGTCTGTTTGGTGTTTATCCAGTTGGAATAAAATGGTATGCGAATCGGCCTGAAAGCGTCACTTTAACCATAACTTCACGACCGCCTCGAAGAGTGAATGATAAAGTGAACTTTATGCTTACATCATATGTCATCCGAGCTGTTGACGAAATTACTCGGGCGGGTCACGTGCAGCATTTCGAGAGGCAACGTGCACGTTGCCGCTCAGAGTACGTTTTAGCAAATACTTATCGAATATCACTATGCATGGGCACGCGTTGTTTCCATGAGCAATACTCTGCTTTTAGGAACTAGATGAACGTAATTAAGTACTCACAATACAAACAATAGACTCCTTCGGCAAGCATAAATAGGCCCTCGACGGCCCCATAACGACAGTTGTCATGTGTTTATGTCTTGGTTTCCTTTCATGGGACTGCTCGACCTGCCCATGTCGATAACCTCCAAATACCGGGTTTCTACACTTCCTCCTATCGGGTGTTTTGTCGCCGATATCGTCAAAAGTTTTTTCCAATGACCTATCATTTCACAGCAGTTAGCTAACGTACACACACGTACAACATACACACGCTATGTATGTACATAGTGAGTGAGCAAACTTTCTCATGCAGACCACTCAAATGGCATGTATTTCACCCATTATTAGCAGCGGCAAAATGTACGTAAAAATGAGCCATGTTGCTACCGTGCACGTTGCCCATTTTCCAAACGGATATAATCTAAACGATAACAACAATATAATAATAGTAATATCGCTACGCCGGAGAACAACTCGAGCGAGCAACGACCTCTTTCATATCGTCACGACATTGAAGGGGCAGATGCTTCGTGGCTTATATCTGGCAAGATATCTGTCACAATACGATTCCCGATTAGAGAATCATTGGCAATACATTTAGAAGGACAAGCTACGCAAAGAAGCCTGTCGCATAACGTATTATTAGCAGGAGTGTGGCAACAACCGGTGCGCCGGCGTTGACAGTTCGATCGTGCGTATCATCTTCAAAGATTGTCATAGCGTATTTCCTGACTGTTAGCTACCCCCTTAAAATTGTGTAAAACAATTCAAGAGGGTAGAGGGGTCACTTGCGACGGTTGCGTCGGACGATGTAATGTCACTACGGGCGATGCCTGTTGTGGCAATAGTTCGAACTGATAACCCGCGCTTTCTCTCGGTTCTTTTTCAATCCGGTACGACAAGATGTATAGCACTGTAAAATAATGACAATAATAGTTGTAATAATACCTCCAATGTTAGCGTCATGGCGTATAAATGCAGAACGCTCCCCTGCTTTATTACCGCTACAATCAATATATCCTTGGGTAAAGTGGAACACCCGTGTGTTTCGTTTTTTGAATAGCTATTGATGGGAGCTGGGGTTCGAAGGATTAGCACTTGATTAGAAAATGCAGTTATGTCTATTGTCTACGGTACTTATTCCTTATAGCGCAAATTTGTGATCATGGCGTAGTGCAAAACTCATTTTACTCACTAGTGTAGAACGCTGACACATGCCCTCGATGAGAAAACACTGAGCGTAGAGATAATAAGTTTTTCATAACTTTGCATCAGATTTCCATAAATTGAATATGCTACTTACCACGTAATAATTTCAATAACTTACCAGCTCAGAAACTTGTCAGAGCAAATCTGTGTTCAAACCAGAACGGATACCTACAGGCGACGAGCGTCGACATTTGATGAAGGCCGTGAATATTGTCACTAAAAATATAAATTCCCCATTCGATAATCGCTTAGATCTAAATTTGGCAGCGGTGTCTCTACAGTCCTGAAGGATTTCGTCACAGCCTCGCAAACTTAGCAACGTTACTAGATGAAATGTTTTTTATACACGATCATATATATATATATTATAGCATAAGGCTAAATTATCTGTAGAATTAAATCGATTTTTCCTAACGGCAAATTATAGAATGTGTCAGTTTTGCTTCCTCACCGCAGTACTCGTAACACGTGCATGAGAGCTACTGTACCCTATAACTGTACATACATACATACATACATACATACATACATACATACATACATGGCTCAGTTATTGATGACCAACTCAGTGAGTAGCGACGGGCTGTTGGCGACCTAAACCCGCCTCTCTTTCTTCCATCGCCTAACCCTTCTGATCTGCCCTTTCCCTAACCAGCCACTCTATTTTAACCATGTGCCTGATTCGCCCGGTCAGCAAATATTCTCGTTCACACCCAGACCCCCTTATAGTCAGTCGTCCTCACGAGGTGGACAGTTGTGGATTTGGCCAAAGAGGAGACGATCAGAAGCGTTAAAAGTAACCCACACTTGCTTCTGTAACGGAACAATAGTTTACGTTCAGCTTGGTCAATCGCAGATTAACACCGGACAATTAATTGTTTTCGTTTTGTGCGTGGCCAGATAACACATTTCTGGTAGTTTACGTGGTTTTCGTCGCCCAAACCCCAGCCGGAGTGCTTTAAACCACTGTGTCTCTACTGAGCTGTTGATGATGTTCCTTTTGTGTGATTAAAAGTACCGGTGCACGCGCCTGAGCAAAGTTGTACTATGCATAATCTACAGTGAACAATTTTATGAACTTGTGTGAATACAAATGTCAAGTTTCACTTATAATTTAAAATTAACTGCAGCCTAGACTGGGATACGCCCCTTGAAGGCCTCCGATTCACCAATTTTTGTGCATGTTCTGCTGGTAAGTTGTCAAAAATACAGCGAGTGCGTTATCTTTTATAGAATGCATTTTTCCTAGCTTCGGTAGTACTCTATTCGGTTTCGTCGAAAATCGTCTTGAGCCATATTTGAAAGAAGAGAGTAGGAATACCTTTCTAAAGTGTCTCACGACTTTATAAATGTGAAACAGAATAGGTATGAAGAATGTTGTTAATATTTTAACGTGGACTTTTACTTAGTGAGAAACCAAAAAAAAATTTTTTTTTTTTGTTAGAATGTTTCAAGCGCCGTCCTCATATAAATCATAGATCCTATCGTCTCTTCTTTAAATGGTCGGTATTCAATTCAGTGTTACTGGGTCGTTCCCAAACGCGTGAAGATTTTGTTGGGTTTATGGTTTGGTAGGTTTAGGCAAGTAATGCTATTTCATTAGCACAAATTGAGGACGTTTCCTGTTTAAAAAAAGCAAGTCGGGTTTACCGAGTTTTATATACAGAAGAAAAAAAATAGATTACAAAATTGACACTTATTTCCATGACGTACTACCGGTTTTGTAACGCGGTTCGTAAACAGTCGCTGAGGTGGGGTCTGTCATCAACGTAGTGGATGTATAATGATCGATTGTGAGTTTATGTTCCCCTGTACGACACAATGCCACGCAACTAACACTGTGCTCGTATCTTGCATAGATAATTTCAATAATTACTATGTCATCGCTAAAATAGCGGCGGATTAGTGGGAAGATAAATATTAAGATGAAGGCAGCATTGCTACGGTGGGTGGTGCCAAAAGGTATGATGTAATCTGTGCCAAAAAGAAAAACGTCCCCTGTGTTGATATTTAGGGCAAATTGGGGTGGACATCTCTCAGTGGTCAAAACAAGTCTTTAGCTCGTGTCGTGATTTACTTTTTAATAGATCTTAAGTTATTCTTAAGTTATATATTAAATAGACTTCAGCATAATTTTCGGGTCATAGTCAAACATCGACTCTAAAGGTGTCGGCTCTAAAAGACTTCAGTATTCGTATACAATAAAAACAAAAACGTTTCATGACATTGAGTTTATCAATAAACACTGAGATACCGTTTCTTAATTTCAATGACTTGTTCTGTCTTACAGGTATAGACGAAGCATTAAACATGGATCTGTCAGTGGAATTTCGCCCTGCTCTGGGGGTTAAACGTGAGAGTTCAGTATCTCCTCCCGGGTGGGACCATTCATCAGAGGGGGACCGACCGCTAGATTTCAGCAGGCAGAGTCCATCTGCAACGAACGAAAAGGTTGCTAACGACGCCGACTCGTCCCCAGCAAAAAAGTGTGCTGTCTCCGAACCTGAACAGGATTCTCCACGCACGATGCCCGATCAACGAAAACTTCTGTTGACAAACCCACAACAGCTACGCTTTCACGACATGCACTGCCCGACCAGCCCGCCTCAGAGTCTATCTCCGAACTTTCAAGCAATAATGGGGCTTGCACCGAACGTTCTGCAGTCGAACGAAGATCATTTGAACCTTTACGAATCCCTTGTGCTCAAGTCACTACAGTCTGGTTCCAGCCCACAGCATATCTTCGACCCAGGCTATCTGCACTTCAGAAATCAGGTTAGCATTGCTGCTATAGGGGCACTGCTCTCAAGCCGGCTCTGTTCCGTCAGTTAGATGAACGAGTATACCTTATCTACATGTTAGTGTACCGTCCTTTTGCTTTTGCATGACTTGGCAATGGGCGTTTCTCGAAACCAACTGCGCATATTGAGTATACTAATGATTGGTCAACATCGTTTCCGCTTTGTGTTGTTATATCTGAAAGCAGTTCCTGCTCCAGAAAAAGATGCAAAACACTCAGAGACGTAAGACTGTGTCAATGTCGACCCCAACGACTACATCTTTAACTCCCATACCGAAAAGTTCCGATTCAACGGAACCATCATCCGAATTGTCGGATCAGTCCAATGATTCTAGCCATGTTCACCATAACCAGGCCGATTCAACAAATCGAACGGCAGTTTTGCCTACTGTTACATCACCGCCTTCATCCGCTTTGCCGACCTCCAGTAGCAATTCAAATGGCACTTCGAGACGACGCGGTAACCCTTTCCCCGAGGAGCTCAAGGACACAGCGTACTGGGAGCGTAGGCGCAAGAATAATGAAGCTGCAAAGAGGTCTCGGGACGCGCGGCGTGCTAAAGAGGACGAGATCGCCATTCGAGCAGCTTATCTCGAGCAGGAGAATATCAAATTAAAGGTCGAACTTAGCACTCTTAACCAACAACTAGCACATCTACGAGCATTTGTTGAAGCGCGTCAAATCTAGACGTCGTCCCCGTCGAAGCAGGATTGCGTCGTTTTCTATTGTGTCAACCGGCTTCCCAGTCAGTAACTATAACCGGCTGACATTAATGGGCTAGAAGCAAGATGAAGACGTCACAGATCGAAGAAGATCTCGTAGACATTTTTATAGTATATGCATGTTGACATCTCGTAAACCCCCCCCCCATTAAGCTTACTGGTGGCAAATGAGCCCATGGGGGTTAAGAAATGTTACACGCATCTAATGCTTAAGAACAAAATGATCTAATAATCGGTTATTGGAAATAGTACAAAGGACGAATTCTCTATGGGAGTATTAGAAAGGGCTCTCGACACAGCCATTTTTACCAACTTTACCGTATCTCAAAATGTATAGGCGTAAATATCACTACTTAATGAATGAACGCTGTCTTGCAGTGAATCCGTTACGCCATTTTAGGGCTATGTATGGCTTTTCCCACATCTAAAATTATGATGAACTTCATTCCTGATAGACGCTTACGAGTGCAGCCGGTGTTTTCTATCAGGAACAAAGTTCCCTATGCCGTATTATGTGGCAAAAACCATATCGAATACACCGTAATGGATATACTATCAAAACGATCTTCTTGAATGTGAATATTTCGTACGTAACTTACTGTTTACATACAAAGAGCTGGAACATCGGCAGGAATAGGCGCATAGGCTTAGATCGATCGTCTTTAAACTATAATGTGTTATTTTAATTTATTTTATGTTACCTAACGGTTACAGAATAAATAAATGAACTGTCAGGAAATAGTAGCTAGCAAGCGATAAATAAAGCAGATTATTTGGTTACCTCTCGAATCCGCCATAGATACCGAGGTCGCAGCTTCGAAATGTGCTAAATTCGACTTTGTATTCAGATGCTCAAGCCCGAAAAACGTTCGAAGCTGCCAGATTATCGGCCGGATGGCGTATTGCACAAGTAGCTCTGCAGTGAGTGCTAGCAGCAAGAAAGGCCATATCGAGGAAAGGAAATTGAAATTCTCATAGATTTCATAACATTCGTGATACCTTTTTCCTTGAGCGATGCCTCGTGCGTTATGCTGATGCAATGGAAAGAGGTAAGGATTGAGACGGAAATACGAACAAAGAAACAACAAACGACGTCATAGCCTCACCCAACCTAAATACCTAGTCACTGTATTACCTTACGTGGTGGGTTGAAACCTGATTTCCAGACGCTGTTTTGTCGAACAGCGCTATTTCTGTTCAATGTTAAGGAAGGAGAGATAGCTATTAAAGGACAGAGATATCATACAACAATGAATGAATAATATCCGGCGTATTGCTATGCAAAGAAGGAAATATTATATATATTCTAGGTACCTGTAAATGTAGAAAAGAACCTTATTCAGCAAATATGGAATCAAAAAAAAAACTGCCTGTGATAACGCGCTCATGGCCATTTTCTATGCGAACAATACTATCGATTGCAACTAGTAAATAAAAGAGAATCTTTTAAATGGACCTGAAGAAGAAGTAGGACGAGGTGGAGGAAAGGCCCTGACAACGTTCAAACCATATGTAAGTTAGATTACAATTGAAAGAAAGCGATTCACACCATCAGATACACCATGAATTTTCCCCCCATCTCACGACGACGCTCGTAATATGGATACCCAGTTTTTAGAAAGAGAAATTCGTAGATTGCTAGGTATAAGAAAACGGGTAGGCGCGGAACAAGGGAGTATTTCCACTAGATAGCTTGGAAGTGATGAACGGACGCTCGCTCGCTTTATTCACAAACAAACAGGACCAAAAGACAACTGATTAACGCTGCGTCCTTAAATTAAGCTAGCTTATATTATTTGCAATGGTACGTTTTAATGTGTCAAGTACCTTTATGATGAACAGTCGAAAGAGAAAGATGTTTACATTTAGAAACAGCGGTAGTGGCGCGCACATCTGTCCGAATTATGTTAAAAGATATTATGCACGGATGCAGTGTTCGCGTCAACAAACGATATTCGACCTTCCGATCTGAGGGAAGCAGAAGTAGCCGGGCTGTCAGATTTCATAACGCGTGTCCAGCTATGCATCGATCTACATGCAGATGATACAATTATTATAGATGCGTGCGACAGCCATCTGCGAAGATGAGAAGATTGTATAAATGGGCTAAAATAAAAAAAAAATCGCTTACTTTATTTATGTACCAAATACACGCGTCGCTTTTCTTTCTATGACAACTTATCTAGCTGTTTATTTTTCAAAGTGAGTTATCTCGTAAAACGTACCATGAACTACTTGTCACTCAACGTCAACAGACTCTCGACATAGTCTTTCTTGCCAGTTGTTTTCTTTTTTTGGAGCTCTAAAAGTGTTTATTTGGGTTTTTTTTTTGGGAAGTTATTTGACCTGTTGATGGTTCCTGCAAATAATACGTCTTTAATCTCGGTTAGTGAATATTGGCTATCGAAGCCTTTAGTAGAAGCTGGCTTATTTTGGGGGCCACAATTAGTGCATAGCCAATGGTGTTAGTCCATATCTTTCTTTGGAAAGATTCAAATGAATGTATACGCTAACTTATAACAGCCAAAGTATAGTTCTATAAAGCCTGATCATCCGAACTGGTGGGTTGGGTATTTTTTGAAAATCAGCCATGCTTCTAGGGAAGTTTCTTCCTTGTAAGGCCGGGTAGCGTAAACTTACATCCAAGTGCTGCTTATTCGAGACATGCATCATAACTAATCAGCTCGACAGGTGTGAGCCATATATATGAGTTCCTTAATATCCAAGTCAATTTGATTATTTTCCCGTATTCACACATTTGCATAAAACCGATTAGAAAAAGGCAGATCTTTCGCACGTTCGTTGAACGAATTGCGCTCTCACTCCTTCGAGCTGCCAAACTCAGGTCTAATCCTATCTGGCCTTTGGCCACCCCGCGCTATACGTATCATACGTACATCTCCAACGGCAAACACCTTAGCATGGCACGATTATACGCATTCTCTTGAAAGTTGGGTATCAATGGCTCTGCTCGTGACAGCACTCAGACCGCTACGAGGCCAGAACGTTCTGCTTTCGGTTTCGCTGGCAATCATCATACGAGTCTGTGTCTGTGGATTTCTTTGATAGTGACCACTCTACGACCACGGTCATCGAATCCGTCGCACTCGGTCTGCTCCTCTAAGTCGAATGTTCTAAAGCAAGTGGACAATGGGCTTGACCTCCGCGGCCCCTGAGCCACCACGTATCGCAATATCGCCGCAGTCGTCCTCAATGGTTTGTAGGCCACTATTTCACGAAAACGACCCGTCGAATAAGAAATACGCCGTATCTGATATCATCGAACTTGTTGAAGGGCTTTTTGTTTCGACTAATAGCACTTTCTGCTACCCTTTCATCGGGTGTGCATGTACGACAGCCGGTAAACGTCAGCACCTCGCCGCACAACGTTCTCGCACGACCTCTGATAGAATCGTCTACAGTGGCACTTATTCAATTCAGTCTGCCATACGCTAGCCCAACGCCCAGACCGCATTTACTTTGGCAGACTGATTTTTAAGATACACCGAAACGATCGGTCGATCGGCTGGTTGATCGCTTGATGCGATCATTGATCAGTGGGACTCTGATGAGGACGTAATCGCCAAGACAATAGGATTTTGCTTCCATATTCGAATAAGCTTCATCCTTCTGCCTTTCGCCTGTAGTTGTATTAAGCCTTTCGATGCCTTCTATTTCCGAGTGAAAGGGTTCGGGTTCACATATTCAGCGAACGCAGCAGGCACAGTAGCATCGTCGTTATGAAAGATGCGGAGAAAGCTTTACGCGCGTGGGTGTTCTGAATGCGAATAAGCAGCAAGCGGGCAGAGAAGAAGACAAAGACGAAGCAGATGGGTCCTCGTTATATTGAGAAGACCATAACTCTTTCGAAGGGGAACTGTTTCATATCTTCTCGTCGTCCGCGTTTGCTCTCAGCGATAACCACTCGAGGACAATGGATGTGAGGCGACGTAGAAGGCCGTTATGAAAATGGCATCATTGAGAGGTAGATTGGTAACTATTAGTAACTACTTGTTTATCTGGAATATTTAGCGCTTCGTATGTTGGCAGTGTTTTCACTCATCTATCGTAGCTTGTACGTGTAGATTGAAAAGGCAGGTGGGGATGTAGTGGAATAGTTTTTATATAAAGCGTAACCTACACGCGTTGTTAGCCGTATCTGAGATCTCCAGCCAAATTCTCTTATTTGTGTTATAGTAATAAACCTACTAATCTGCTTGATCATAACGTTCCCTGACATGAAGATGCAACACATAGTAACTAGCCGGGATTGTCAACTTTAGACAATCAATCCTGGGTGGTTACTTAGCAATAATGATTCGTCTAGAGAGAAGTTTCGTTAAATCATTTACCAAGACTGTTTATTAAATGCAAGTGTGTTTAAATCTTGCATTGTTTTCACCACCACCACCACCTTAGAAACAAACTTGACCTGTCAATTTCGGTCTGAAATCGAAACATACCACTCTCTCTCCCTGCTCACTCACCACACGTTAGCGTCAATTAAATACAACAGATTGTTTGTCTATGACCGCTCAACTATCGATAAAACAATTCCGAAGAACCTTTCCAAGCGAACGGCTGATAAATGTATGTGTCATGCCATGAACGATAGAAAAGGGCAAATAGGAAAACGATATTGAAAATGGCCACGAGACAAATACATAGACCGACGGGTACAACTGGTTTCTCGTGCTTGCATTCACTCCGAACTACAACCGCTTGACGAATGTGAACGTCGTGCTGTATGATATGTGCCATCGGAGTCCTCGCTTGTGAAGTTAATTCAGTGAAGTTCTGCGGTGAAGCGTTTTTTAGTGAACCGGCTTGAACCGAAAGATTTCCTTCCGATCCGGTCGGTGTACCCGGTGGTGATATGATAGGACTTGCAGATACGTTCACCTCACGCGTTCGAAGTGAGCATAACGATGCTGGAGCTTCTTTGGCGCCACTTGTCGATGGTCCGGATATTGCACCTCCTGCCAAGACGAATTCGGGTAGCCCGCAGAGAACGAGATCCATGTTAAGTGACGCACGACCCGATGGCGTCGAATAAGTTGTATGAAGCACTGAAGGCGAATCCTGCCTTTGAAAAACTGCGTCCTGGATACCTTGGTTGTGTTTGTTCGTCATCGTGAATAATATAAATACTATGCAAAATGTAGCTTTTGTTACGCAAATAGACAAAAATAGCTTCTCGGGTTCTCCGACACTCAAATGAAATTACCAACAGATTTAATCGCCAGATTCCTTAATTGATGTCACCCTGTGTTATATGTCTAACACGGTGGTTTCGTCGTTTGGTCAGAGCAGACAGCCTGAACAGTATAATTTGTTATGTAGTGATAATCTTGCTCTGGGATCGAGTCGAAATTTTTTTGACGACAACGCTGTATGACCAATCGACCGCGCAATTGAGTAATCGCGAACCATTTTAAGCTACTTGTCCAATGTCAGATGCTGATGTATTGGCATCGTGCTTGTGCAGAAATTCGCGGTAGTAATAGGAATAAAGTAAAATGAACATTGATTTACCTATTCCTTGTGCGTAGTACTTGAGTACGGAGAACGGACGTGCACGGTTACCTGATCCACTGTTATGGAACACGCGCGCGAGCTGCGCCAATAGGGAACGTGCTTCTTTATTATGTAGACGTGAGCAATCTTTCTCGCTCATGTCTGACCAACTCATCTGCTATTGTTTACGACCAATGGTGCAGCGGGATGTGTGATACCTTTTTTTTTTTTTACTCGAACAAGCCAGCCAGAAGCTGACCGGAAACTTTCGACTTGCGCTTCAACAACGAAAGCATTACGGACCTTATTTCCCTTGTTATGTAGGAGCTTCGAATTGCCTTCCAGGCAACAGCTAACATTTTGAACGGGAGGCTGCTAATTATGCATGCTGCAGGCTGCTTCATATCAGCCAGTATCGTTCGTAATAATGGCGAACCTGGCGGGAGGCCCACGAAAGGAAACGAGTCGGTCCTGCCTCCCACAAGGCAGGCCGTTACATAACTGTAGCTATTTTATATTAAACCAATAAGCGGGGCGCTAATCCATGGTGGGAGGGACGAGGCTCCTCGGTGCGCATAACGTACCGGGTCCATCAACAACGGGATATTCCAATCGCTTATCATTGCTCTGTTAAAGGCAGCGAACATATAGCGACGTATAAGAATCTTTAATTGTTACATAACCATAATCAAGAATATTTGGTCGGTTTGTCGATGCTACGGTCTGCTATTTTTTCATTTTCTTATTTTTTTAGAAAATTTTTTATTACTAGTATCATGAAAAACCATTGTTATTGTTATAATCGTTATTGCAATGATTATCATTCCTCGATGTTATACGATAGTATACTATTTTCTAGGACAACATCCCTTTCCGAAACGATAGGTAGTACATAAAGTACTCGACTATGAGCAGTGCCCTTCTCTCTAAAGCTCATCGCCTTCGTGAAAGGCTCTCTGCTGTAACTTCGTTACTCGGATACAGTTTTGCCGTGGAAGAAATTGAGCATTAGCGAAACCTCAACGAATTCACTGGCATTTTGCCTTTCGAAGATCAGTCACGACACCATGGACCAATAAGCGATGGTAACAGGTTCCTTATTTTTTGTGGAAACCGCATATCTTCGAATTATACCGATCCGGCCAGTAACATTTTCGCCGTAGCTATCAGCACAGGAATGAATGTTGCCGCAAATAATTATTTTCGTCTGCTAGAACATTCGATATTATTCGAGTCAGCCAAATCACAACAAATCGGAGGCAATGTCCAATTAGTTGTGACGGATTTTTTTTTCTATACTCGAACGCGATTTAGGATAACCTACAGCGAAGGTATTAATGATATGTTGAAGGCAACTGTACGAAGCGTAAATCTTCGAATGAGTATCTGAATCACATGTGTATTTGTAGTTGTAGAATTGTAAGTAACGCAACAGCTTTTCAATTAACAACATTTTATTGCACCACAACCGCACATGAAAAGTAAGCTTCTGCAAGATAAGATGTACATGAAACATGTGCAGATGTGGAGATACCATTCAGATAGTACGCTGCGTCTAACAATATGTAACCGTAACAAGGTCCTATTGCAC